ATTAATAATATATATATATATATATATATATATATATATATTATTTTCTATATATATTATTTAAATTAGAGTATTATTTGTTTATATATCCGATTAAGTTTTATTATTAATATTTGTTTGTTTCTTGTTTTTAGAAATCATTGTAAATCAAGAAATTCGAAAAGAGTTTTTTTATAAATTTATTAATAAAGTAATTAATAATATTTTCCGTTTAATTTTATTTCAGAAAAATCCCTTAAAATAACTCTAAAATTTTTATGTTTATTTATTCATTATACTTATATTCAAATATATAATTAATTATAATTGTCTATATAAATAAATTTCTTTAATATGTTCAATAATATATATTTCTTAACTATATTTTTAGACTAAATTTCAATTTATATTATAATTTTTTGTTCGATTTAATAAATAGTTTTTTTCTTTATTTCTATAATATTATGATGCCTTAATAAAAATTAATACAAATTATTATTTTCCCAAAATTAACGAATTTTTTAGAAGATTCAATTTTTGACTAATTTAATCTATTTTTATGACTTTTATCTAAATGATTGGTATATATATATTAAAAATAAATTACATTTTTTTGTTAAAATGAATACTTTTATTTATTTAATGTCCATAAAATAATATATCAATAATTGAACTTGTAATTATTTTTAAACTAAAAAAATTATTTATTTGAATTTAAGAAAATATTATAATAAGTAAACTATTTAACCCAAATTATGTATGTATATATTAAAATACTCTAAATAATTATATATTATTATTTATAGAATCGGTTAAATATGAAAATGAATACTGATAGAAAATATACAATTACTAATAAAATTAAAAATATATTAGATATTTATTTAAAATAATAAAACAATCCATAAAAAAAAACTAAATACAATAATATAATATTAGAATTTAAAATGTTCCATTATTAATATTATTAAGTTTAATATAAGAAGTATATACTTTTAATGTTTTATTAGTTTTATTATTAGTTTATTTATTATCTTCCTCTTTTTTTTATTATTATTATTTTATAATAATAAACTTCATTAATATTTAACTTAATTAGGATGTGTATTCATTATAATAATCAAGGTTTTTCATTATAGTTTTATTTGAAAAATTCTAATGATGTTTTTTTTTTGTTTTGAAAAAATACTTTATTTATATTTTTTAATGTTAATCTTATATAGATATTTTTATTATTATTAATTTAAATATTTTATTGAATTTTATATATACAAAAAATAATATAATATAATAGAAAGAATATAAATTTAGTTTTTTTATTATTTTAATTTTTAGTTAACTATTATTAACAATAAAAAGTATATATTTTCTAAATATTTATACTTAAAAATGCATTTTATATAAAGAAAAATTCATCAAAATTATAACTTTTTTATAAAAAATATAATAATTTTTTTTAAAAAAAAAATAAAAAAAAATACAAAAATATTATAAAAATTATTTAATATAAAAATTTAATTTAAAAAAATATAAATTACAATAACTTTTAATTTTAATATTATAATATATATTTAAAATTATTAAATAAAATAATATTAAACAAAAGAAAAAAAAAATCAAATAACATGTCAGGTAATAAATAAATATACAAAAAAAATCATAAAAATAAAATATATATAATTCTAAAATAGAGGAATCATAATATTCAGATATTTAAGGAGGTTGGATAAATTGGTTTTGTGCCCTAGAAGACCATTAATTTTTATGCGAAGTAGATGAAGATTATATAAAAGATAATTTTAATCTATATGGAATAAAATAAAAATTTAATCATTATAAGTTAAAAAAAAAAAAATGTTAATAATAATTAATATCAAAATAAAAGTGAAGCATTAGAAATGATTTTATCAACAGAAAGTCCAGATGATGATGATTTAGAAGATGAAAGGTAATTTTATTATTAAAAAAACATACTATATAAATAAATAAATATATAAATATATAAATATATATATATATATATATATATATATTTAAAAAAAAAATCGCTTAATTAATAAAATTCAAAGATTTTTAGAAATATATTAGGAAGCAACAGATTTATATGGATTAATACATTCCAGATTTATTACATCTCCCAAAGGATTAGCAATGATGAGAGAAAAATATTTACTTGGAAGATTTGGAGTCTGTCCTCGAGTACTTTGCGAAAGACAAAATGTTTTACCTTTAGGCATGAGTGAAGAGTTAAGAACATCAAGAGTCAAAGTAATTTATATTTATAAAATAAAAAGTTAAAATCTATAAAAATAGGTTTATTGCCCGAGATGTGAAGATGTATATATACCTAAAAAAAAGTAAAAAAAATACAATAAATATTAATTTTTTTTTATAATTATATAAAAAAGATGGTAATTAATTTTTCATCTATTTTTTTAATAAAATATATATTTTTATAAGTCCTGATATTGATGGATGCTATTTTGGTGTTTCTTTTCCTTAAAGTTTACTAATGGGATATCCTGATTTAATACCTTAAAAAAATTAATCAACATACATTCCGAGAATATATGGGTTTAGAATTTATAAAAAAAAAGGATCAAGATTTGCTGAAGATGAAAATAATGTATGTGAAATTACACATTATAATGAAGAACTTTTAAAATAAATTAGATGTAAAGCAGATAAAAATAAAAATGAAGATAAAAAGATGCAATAAATTATATGAAAATTTATATATATAAATATATATATATATATATATATATATATATATATTTATAATTTAAATTAAAAGTTTTCTTTTTAAAAAATAATTATATATATTTATATTATCATCTTTTATATAATTTCTATTAAATATCATTTAGTCTTTAAATATATGTTTACAATTCATTTTATTAATTTTCTAATTAAAAATATGTTAATAATTTTTTTAAAAATAAAAACCTTTAAATATCTATAAATCCTCATTGTTTATATTTTTTTAATATTAATTATTATCTAATTTTTAGGAAATATCATCAAAATTTTAAACGTTTACTTATTTATCTTTAACTTTTTTATTTTTTATTAAATAATAAATAAAAAATATATAAATAATTATCACAAATATTTTTTCTTTAGTTTTTAATTATAATTTTTTAGCAAAAAATAAAGCATTTTATTCTGCTTAATATTATTTATTATCTTTAATTATTTAATTTTTCTATTTTTAATCTTTAATTAAATTTGTAAATTTGAATATAAGTCTTGAATTTCTTTTCACATCAATAGTTTGTATAAAATTTACATATTCCAAAGGATTTATATTAATTTCATCTTCGTCACTAATATTTGAAGGCACATCACTTAATTCATTTTCATTTTCATCTTCATCAATTTCTACATATATAGGACTTATCTCTTCTTCTTTTTATTTAAATCTTCAATAATTTTATTTGAAAAAACACTGATGTTTATACTTTCCCTTCAATTTTTTAATTATTATTTTAATTATTATATTATTATTATTATTATTATTATTATTATTATTATTATTATTATTATTATTATTATTATTTTTTATATTATTTATTTAATCTATAATATTATTATCATACTTTTCTTCTATATATATTTATTTAATTTAATTTTTGTATTTATTTATATATTCTTTATTATGGAATTAGTCAAAATTAGAAAATTATAAATCTGAAGGAATTTTATTAATACAATAATAACATTAATCAGAAGGTAAATCGCTTTTAACTTATGTATTTTAATTATTTTGTAATTATAATAATGGATTGTTTTAAAATTTTACTGTTTTTATTTCGTTTTTATTTTTTTGTTTTATGTTTTCTTATTTAGTAAGTAAATTTAAATTATAGTTTTATTGTTATTCATATTATGAAAAATAATTTAGATTCAAATAGTTTTATTATTTTATTGTATTCTATTTATTTTCATATTATGAATGAAAATTTAAATGCCTATTATATTACGAATAAATAGGATATGATAAAAAAGACATTTTATTTTATTTTAATATAATAATTTTTTATTGAATAAAATATTTTTTAATAAATATATAACTTTTTTTTATTTATAAATATTATTTAAAATAAAATATATATTAATATATAATTAAAATATATAATTATATATATATATATCATATATTTATTTAAATTTTTTTATGTTTATTTATTTATTTTTTAAATATATATATAATTAATGAAAAATCTATATTAAACATTTAATCACTTTCAATATTTTTCCTATATTTCTTATATTCCTTGTATAACATATTAGGGATAATCCTTATGGAATTCTTTTACATTATACTACCCTGGCCCTATTAATTTAAATATAAATAAATATATACTTATATATATTAATATATAAAAACCAGGATTAAAATTATAATTCTTATAAAATTTTTATTCTTTTCCAAATTAAAATTATTTTCCTTGTTTATTTTTCATATCAATATTATAATTACCAGGTCCCTTTTTAAATATAAATATATAAATTAAATTTTAACAAAATTACAGGATTTCTATTTAATTAACTTATAAATTATCTATTTGAAAATCCAAATTAAGAATTAGATTAACTAAACGAATTTAAACACTTTTAAATATAATATTAATTAGGTCCAGGAAAACCTTTATTACTGTCTATATATTCTAATTTACCTGCTATTGTATATTAAGGTCCATTTCCAACAAAATAATTCTCTTTATTATAACTTCCAGGTCCAGGTGTATGAAATTTTGTAAAATTAATACTTGGTCTTTAACTCTTACCAACAGCATATTTAGGAGAATGAAATTTTACAGCGTTTAATTTTATATAATATTTTCCTGGTCCAGGAGAAATATTTTTAGGACTCAAAGATTTTGCCTAAGGAATTTTATAGACTTATAAATTTTTTAAACAAAGGTATTTTTAGGAAAATAACTATTTGGAGAAGGAAAAATGTATTATTCAGTATTTATATTTACTATTAATTATAGAATAAAATATATATAATCATTATCAATCAAATTAATAAAAAATAATCAAAAAAATAATATATTATGAAAATAAAAAAATAATTCTTTTTAAATTTATATATATTTATTATATAAAAAATTAATAAGTAATATAAATACATATATATATATATATATATATATATTTATATATATATATTTATATATATATTCATATATATTAAATATATAATTATATTTTATATGTCATGATTTTATATTTTTTTTACTCCTGGACCTCTATTTTTTTCTAAACTTTAATTCGTTTATTAATTAAAATTCTCTTTTCTTTTTTCTTTTGCAAATTTATATATATGAGATTTGCATTTATATTAATTATCTAAATAATATCCTGGTCCAGGTAAACAATTTAGCTTTTCTTTATATTTTTATTATGTTCCAAATCTAAATATTATATTTTTATTAATAAAAAATCAAATAAATTTTTTCTAACTAATTTGCTATTTATTTATTTTTGAAATTTTATATTTCATAATGTCCAGGTCCTGGAAATGATTTAATTTTAAATGGATCTAATTCTTTTAATTTCAAACTAATAGTAACAGCCGGTTTTTTATTTAAATTTATTTTTTCAATTTAATATGTATAAGGATCTGGAAAATTTTCTTTATTTAAAGTATATTTTTTTATTCCAAATGTGTATTTAGGACTCCTTTATTTCTAAAAATAAATTATTAATAAATAAATAATTTATAAAAAAAAAAATACTTAAGAATCATAATTTTCCTTTATTTTATAATAACAAGGACCAGGACTTATTGTTATATTTGCAATATCAACTCTTTAAGAATTCCCAATATTAGATTTAGAAAAAGACTTTTTTTATTATATAGTATATGTTCCTGGTCCTGGAGTTTAATTAATAGGTTTTTCTTCAGCTTTTTTTTTTTTTTTTTTTTTTTTTTTTTTTTGAATTTAATAAAAAAATAATATAAACTTTTTCTTTCTGATTAGGCTATTGTATATTAGTAAACCATTTTTTTATTTATTTAGATTAAAAATATACGTTTATTTAAATTAATAAAAAATCAATTTATTAATATAATTAAATCTAAATAAAAAAAAGTTAAAAAATTTAATTAAAATATTATTTAAAAAATAATGTAAGTCCAAAAACTTTAGAATGTTTGTTTTTTATTTATTTTTCTTTAAACATAAATATAATAATAAAAAACAAAGTAAAAAAATTAAAATTAAAAATCATTAAAAAAAAAATTTTTTAAAAATATAGTTTAATGGATAGTCAATGTAATATATTATACTAATTAATAAAAAAAGCAATTAATATTTAAGTTTATAAAAAATTCTTTTTAATTTATGTTTATTAACTGTATTTTTAAAATATATTAAATATTAAAATTAAAAGACTAAATAAAATATGAAAAATAATAAAAATAATTTAAATAAAAAATAATATGATTATATTATTTGATTAATTAAATATAATTAATATAATGTTTTGTAAATATAATAAAAAAATAAATATATTTTATAATTATAAATAAATTGAAATTCGTTAAATTTTATTTTAAAATATAAAATATTCAATATATATCATTTTAATATAAATGATAATAATTATAATATATTTTTATTTTAATAAATTGATTAAAATTTTATATAATAAATTTAAAATAATATAAACTATTCAAAAAAAAAAAGATAATTGATTAATAAATATAAATATAAAAAAAAATCAAATATAATAAATATATATAAAAAAAAAAGTAAAATATAAATTAACATTAAAAAAAAAAAAAATATATAATAATTTGAAATGAATATATATAAATAGTTAAAACTAATATAAATATATATAAAAAAAATTATATATATATATATATATATATATATATATATATATATATATATATATATATACTTATATTTAAATTAATTTATTTATATTTTTTTTAATATATATATTAAAAATATTTTAATATCATTTATTTATTTATTTTTCTTTAAATTTATATATTATATTTTTAGTTTTATTATATATTTTTTAAAATTATCCTTTATATGCAATATAATTCTAATATTTTATTTATTAAAAATTTTAAAATTTATTTTTAAATTTATAATTAAACATAATGATTTTATATTTTGTAATAATATTTTTATTATATATTTTTATAATAAATAATTATTTTAATTTCAATATATATAATTAAATTTTTATAATATATATTTACTTATAATAAAATAATATTTAATTTTTATTTTCTATATTTAAAAATATAAATATATATATTTTTAAAAAAAACTAATAATAAACTATTATTTTAAGAAACATATATATTTTTATTTTAAATATTTACATTAAAAATATTAAAAACATATCTTTTATAAATTTAAAAAATCTAAAAACTTAATAAATTTATTAAAATATTTTATAAGATTTTTTTTTTTATTAACTATATATTTAATAAAAAAAATAATAATAATATAATCATATTTTTTTTAAAAAAAAATATGTATTAAATCTAAAAAATAATATTTTTAATCATCATATATTAAATAATTAAAAAAATGAAATCTATTAAAATTCCTTATTTTGATATAGAATTACAAGGGTTTATTTTCCTTAAAAAAATATAAATAAATTAAAAATATATTTGTATAATAAAGAATTTATACACAATCTCATAATGAATAAAATAAAGACTGCCCATAAGGTTGTTCA